CTAATTTTATGGCATTTATTACTCTATGGATAAAATCAGTTCAATGTCTCCTACATTTTGTGCATTTGCCATTTCTATTCATTCATTGAGCCACAGAAATTAACACAAATATTCTAGGCTTTATGAACTTAAAATTTTGAATCAGCTTATTGTTCATGTTCACATAAGCAGTTTGAGATGCTCTTCGTTTGAATTTTTTATTGAATTACCAAATGAATTTTAATATGTATGCTTTTCTTCAAAAGTCCATTATTTGCATTCAGCCCTCAACTGACGCAGTAACCCAAAAACAGGTCATCCACTTTAAGCCTAAAATGGATCTTTGGGATGTAAAAGTACGGATACTAGTACTGTCGATGATTTTGCCATACATAAGACTAAAATAATTCAAGAATCTTTTGAACGTGTAATTCAATCCCTGCCTTCTAAATTCGACAGACCAAGCCTTCCACAACTTCCTCGGCTGGATTGGGGCTTTTCTTCTTGGTCTAAAAGCCGATCTGAGCAGTTGACTACGTTAAGCCAACTGGAGTGGTGTACATCACGCCAGATCATGCTATGTCTAGGCAATTGATTTAAATAATCCAGGAACCGTATTGGAAACGTGAATACCCATTTTGGAGAAACCTTGACGAAAAACTACCAAAGTCAAAAACATTTTTTTGTTCTGTCCCTATGCACAATACAAATGCAACATCAGATGAGGTGTTGTTTTTGAAAAACGAGAAAGTTGCAAAAATGCCTGTCACAGCTTGGCGCACTGAATTCAGCCTTTGCTTCGTCGGGAGAAGGGTTCAATGATTTGAATCTGAGGAGCTGAGTACGTTAATGCTCTTGGAATTTTGTCCACCGGTTCTATTCATAACCCAGTCCAAATTAGGTGGAGTCTGGTGATTATTTCATTTTCAGTTTTACACCGAGTACATCCCGTCTGCGCAGGAAACGTGGCCTGGACATCAGCCCGTTCACTCAGGGTTAGTCATCCAGGTTAATATCGGTAGCCGGAAAACATCTCTTCAAGTGCTAAATTTATGATGTTCCCCAGTCGAGCTTTCTTCATTTGAGTTTTGTTTTGTTGCATCCCACTTCTTTTGAGGCAGTATTTATTGTCAAATCAAGGATACCAATTTCTTTTTTTATGGCTAAAACGTGGACCGAGGATTATTGAAATCATGTACTGGAGAAGAAGATTTGATAGGTGCTAATGTCTGATATCAATATTTCGGGGGATTAATCAGAATCTACAAACATAACACTGGATTACGCGTTGGTTTATTAAAAACAACTTCATGTACCACATGGGCAGCTCGACTTTGCTGCGCAGGATCTTCTCTGTAAAACTGGATGTGTGACGTGTCCTCCTCGCCTTGGCTGCACATGTCAACTCATGGCTTCGTTGACTTTGTAGAAATGGATGTGAGACGTGGGGACCTCGCCTTGGCTGCACTTGATCCCGTCAGCTCATGGCTTCGTTGACTTTGTAGAAATGGATGTGAGACGTGGGCATCTCGCCTTGGCTGCACATGATCCCGTCAACTCAGGGCTTCGTTGACTTTGTAGAAATGTGTGAATTCGTTGGATAGGATTCATATTATTCATTTCGTTCGCTATTTCAGCATTCTATATTAGAGAAGGTAACGGTTTCTTGTGGTATTATTTAGCGTGAGATGAAAGATACCGTTTGAGAGTTTTACTAAAAAGCCAATGCGAGGTGTATTTTTACCATTTAGATATCTAGCTCATGATCTGATCGGTTCGTCTGAGAGACCTCCATATACTTATAAAGATCTTTTGACATTTGGGAATAAAAAATGTTACTTTCTATTTTCTCTAGCTGTGTGACATCAGATTACATTTATTTTCGTTAAATAAATACAATCTAAAGTACTGCGTGGGTGGATGTTGTCAATTGACACGAAGCCATGCCATCATCGCCCATCAAGAATATGGTAATTTCTCAATTAGGCTTCCTAGGATAGTGTTTAAGAAAACTGAGCTCTTCTTAATTTGTCATCTATCCAAAAGACGAACTTGCATATTTTCAACGCTTTCCTTTTCGTGATTTCAGCTATCTTAATTAAAGTTTTACAATAGATGTTACGACCTTTAGCTAGGACTGTTATTACTATCCACTTGCACAGCACCAGACGTGACAGGTCATATTGTCGGACATCTCTGCCTATTTTGAAACCGAAGATGATGTTTACCCACATTGAAAGTTCATTCTTTGAGTTGCTTATTTTAAAATTGAGGATTTGGAGGGGTATCAACTGTCGCACAAAATCCTTCAAAAATGGCACGGAAATTGTCTATGTATTCCCGAATATATGCTTGTTGATAATCGACAGCTCATTTCAATATAGTTTTCAAAGTTTATGATGTCTTCACTTCAACTTCTAATCTTAAAAATTTAGTGACAAGTTTTTCGTGCAAAACTGAGTTACGAAGAGCATAGATGACAAAATTTTCATCGGAATTCCAGGAGTGGTCAATCTATTTATCCATTTGAACTGGTACTGATAGTATATGTCCTCGTTACAGATTATTCTCCTGAAGCGACTTTTAAGTCATGTGTTTCTTTGATGATCGCCTGTTAAAAAGAACATTTATGGCAGCTTATTTAGTCAGCTATATACCAATAGCATCATTATGTAATTTAAACCTGAACCGAGAGGAAATTGAGAAAGAAAGACCATCTAAAGTGGCTGTGTCATACCTCTAAATAGCTTTAAAAGACCCCACCTTGGGGAGGAGAATTTCTAAATTGGCTACTGAATGCTTCCAAAGGAAAATAACATGATGTTAGAAAATTATGTAAATGAGATCTCTGAAGAAACCCTACAAGCGAGAGAACAAAAAGATGAAAAGCTTAGAAAATAAACCTGCCTCTCGGCAACACTACTATTGTTAAAGCTGCCAGCATCAGCTTCTACAAAAGAAGCACATACATTTTTCTTTCATTTTCTTTCAATTCTGGAAAAATCACAATATGGGCATGTGCATTTGAAGCAACTAGTATACTGCAACAAAGCAAGAGATATTCCGGGTCATCACCCCGCGTTAATGAGGGGCAGAGGAGAAAGGAGAAGAGGACGGACACCAGGAGGAGAATGCGGGCGGGGGAGGGAGCAGGAATGAGACTGCTCCTCACTGCAGGGGAAGCCCGGTGGAAGAAAACCAGTGAACACCAGGAGGAGGAAGAGTCTACAGGTACTGGTTGAAGTAATGCTATCGTCCTGATTTGCTGGAAACCCGCCGAGGGATTCGGGGCATATCCTGGAGAAACAGAGATAGAGCGAGAGAGAGAGAGAGAGAGAGAGAGAGAGAGAGAGAGAGAGCCAAAGAGAGCGAGAAGGGCAGAGAGGGAGGACCGGGGGGAGGGGGCGAGAGGGAGAAAGGTGACTCAGGCTGCGGGAGCAGTGACGAGTGACCATAGGGCTTTGGTCTCCGGAGGAAACTAGTACCCGGCTGACTGACGCGTACCAGCAGCAGTTACGGTTACGCTTTCTTACGCCGATTTCTATTCCTAACAAGATCCGCACCCCCTTACTTCATAGGGCTGCCTGCTCCTTTGACACCCGCTCCTATTCCGGGATTGTGATGCCAATTGCTTGCTATTCTTATGTTTGTGGCCTATTCCTATTTCGTCTATATTATTCCGGTGCCTGCAGTGATTCCTAATACCAGCTGGCTTGCTTGTGAAGTGTGTGCTGAAGCTGCCGTCATGTATGATGTAACCTCGAAAGTAAACTATTTATTTTATACGTTGACAGCTCGAAATCCTGTCCCAGATTTATTATTTTATCCCAAATTTATTGTTGATGACGACCAAAGCTCTTAGAAACTTTCCTAACAAAAAATGTACAAATATAATAAAAATTAATTCTCCCCAGGGATTAAAATTGTGATTCTGATTCTTGGGTTTAGTGCAAACTAGAATTCGAACCCCATTGACTTGAATGATTAAACAGTTATTGATAAATAAAGTATAAACCATTATATATAATATTAATAGATTGAACTCCCCCCGTTGGCACAAATGTACTGCCCATGTAGAGATCAGGACCGAACTCCTCTCGGCCCGACCCGTTGATATAAGATATTGTGGCCCGTCTAAGAGGCCAGCTTCTCTCTCTCTCTCTCTCTCTCTCTCTCTCTGGTGTTCGCCGGGCCACTGTTCTCTCTGCTGGTTCCTCCAGGGCGGCGCGGCTTGCAGTCTCCTTCCTTGTTACTCTAACTCCAGCTGCGGATCTTCTTCATCACTGCTTATCTCCTTTCCCGTCAACTACAGCCCGCCCCCTTTCCTCATCAGCAAAGGGCCGCAACCTTACTTCCTCTGTTCTGTGGCAGCGTGGCTGGCCTTCCTCCATCGTCCTCAAGTCGGGGCCCAGATGTTTGGACGCTAAATCTCAACTACTCCTTGCGCCACCTGGTGTCGCCAGTCTAAGGAACAACGGTGTGAAAGCCCCCGGAAGACGAGTCAGTAAACAGAGGTCATAAGAAATTTCTTGTCAAGTTCGATCTGTCAAGCTCCGGAATCTGCTCTCGTCCTCGAAGGCTTCCGCGTCATTGCAATCAACCAGGTCACTACAAGTTACCTGCTGAATATTTATATGGACTTAATTCATCTGACGCCAAGAAAAAAATTGTTTTAAATTTTTATCCCCTGAATTCTCACTATTAAAGAAGTTCCGAAGGATGTCAAAATCTCAGATAAAAACTTTCTGTGTGAAACGTAATGTGATTAATTTTCATACAAGCACGAATCCATTTTGTCCAAATCCTTCCGATCTCAGTTTTTTTAATCGTGTGAAACATTTATCTGATTGACAAACTGAAATGGAGGCATGGCAACAAATGTAAAAAATAAGATACGAAGAAGACTGTCTGAAACAAGTAGCATGTGGGATTTATTCAATCCTAGAAGCATGTACGATCTATTCAGTCTTTAGGTTCATACATAGACTAAGCTGTCTTACGTTTTACACGCCTTAAATACCCTATCGTGCAGATGAGCTAATCCTTGCCATTGAATGGGGAGGAACCACAGCTAATGTATCTGTACTACTATCATTTGTGGAATCCCCGGATGATTCAGCTGCCAGACAGTCCTTCAATTGTATGACCACAGTGCTTATAGTTGGTCTCTCGCCAGAGTTTCGTGACGTGCATGACATTGCGATCTCTAATACCTTCCATATGGAATTAACATCATAGTAGCCCTGCATTCTTTGGTCTGCAATATCAGCTATATCTCCTCTTTCTAATCTGGACTGCACGTGCCGGGTTATGTGAGTTCTCTGGGAATCGTTACCGATTGGTGGTTTTCCCGTTACAAGTTCTAGTAGTACGATCCCAAAGCTATAAACATCAGTCTTCTCATTCAGCCTATTTGTTCTGAAATACCTGCACAGAATGAATTCGGAAAATTGAGTAAATTCTCAAGCTAAGACTATTCCTTTGCCTGTATGAACTATGAATGCATTCTTTAGGACATACTCAGGATCAAGGTAACCAGGAGTGCCTGCAATTAGAGTTGATATGTGAGTAGCCTCTTCATTGGTGAAAGCCCTGGACAGCCCAAAATCGGCTAGCTTGACTTCAAAGTTTTCGTTTAAGAGGATATTTGAAGGCTTGACGTCTCTGTGAACAATGGGTGGCTTGCAACCACAGTGCAAATAGTCAAGTCCTGGAGTTCAAAAAATATGACCATCATACATCATTAATAGAATAAGACGTAAGAAATAATAAGAGAAAGGAAGATCAATGATGTTTCAAGAATGAACCTTGTGCTGCTTCAAGTGCTATACGAAGTCGCCCTCTCCAACTTAAGGTATTATGATGGGCAGAGCCACCTGTGTGTAATTGATTGTTATATGAGGACTTGAAAGGCAAGGAAAATAATTGAAGGCTCACAGAGTAACATGGCATTTGCTCATATGTGAAGATAACCTGAGAGGTGATCTGCAAGGGAACCCCGAGGCATGAACTCGTAGACCAGTGCTAGGTTATCGTTACAATATCCTAACAATGTTACTAGATGTTTATGGTGCACTCTCCTCAACAGTTGAGCCTGAAATTCCAAGATACCCGTTATTTTAGGGCATAAAACAAGTCACGAATGAATATATAATCACTAGGTCTTGCCTCAGTTGTAAGTAGAATGGAATTAAATACCACTGGGACCATTGGGATTTCTTTTTCAGTCACTATGACTCACCTCAGCTCTAAAGTGCTGCGTTCCCTGAGTTGATGATATAGAAAGTACTTTCACTGCAACTTGAGTTTCATCTTTTAAACGGCCGTAGTAGACGATTCCAAAGCTTCCTCTTCCAATTGGTCGTTCAAAATTATTGGTGATATTTACAACATCAGATATTGAAAATTGGTCACTTTTAGAAAGCAGTCTATTTTCCTTCTCCACTAACTGGCGGCCACCATCCCTTCCTTGTTGCTCCCTGTATAATTCTACTGCAATACAGGAAAATGTTAAAATAACATTACGAGCGGCCTTCCAACAAGTGTTGATAGCAGACTTGATAATGTTATAAAAGTAACATAAGTTACAGATATGTACCTTGGGTACTCTTTTGGGCTTTGTCTACCCTTCTTCTTTTAAGTATACATCCTATGATGACGATCACAGAAACAAGCAGAACGAATGCCGAAATAGCTATTGCAATGGGAATGATTATCTTTTTTTTCTTTGTTTTTGTTGTTGTTGTTGTTGTTGTTGATTCACAGAGACTCACTGTGCTGCATAGAATTGGATTGTTGTTGATCCTAAAATTTTAAGATAATAGGTGTCAGAATAGGGTGAATACATCATCTATATCCGAATTTACTGATTATCCAGGATTTATAGAGCGTTCGACACAAATTTAATCTACGATCAAGTGTCCAACGAGGGACTGATCTTTTTTTTCTACTCAATGTGTGTGACACCTTCATGTTTGATGTTGTAATGCTAACCACACACCGGTTTTCTTTCAGGTATGAGGAAAACTCAGTGACTAATGTTTTGCATGTTTTTAAGGACTATATTTCGGAATATAAAAATAAACCGGTCATGTCTCAGTCAATTTTTTGAAATGAAAGCGCAGAAACTTAGTTCGAGGAAGTAATCCTGTCAAGTGCTTCATATTAGCAATGTCTTAATTTATTCTATCATCTACTTAACACATTGTATCAAGGATTTTTCTCAACTATCTTTTCTGGGGCACGGTATATAAGAAACCTGGGGTTTGGAGCAACTCAACAGTGGGAATTAATCAACATTATGGATTATTTTCATGCTTTATTTATTTTTCCCTCGTTGGCATAACTTTTTGTTTTAAATTACTTCTTCAGAAGCATATTATCCAATGACCATGGATGCAACGCTAACCTTAGTAGTAGCGATCCATCTCGTGATCTTTCTGAAAGAGTCCTTGGAATAGTCCCATTCAAATTATTGCTTTCCAAGTTCCTGCAAAAAGGGGAATATTTAACCATCCGATACTCCCTGGATGAAGAACCAAATTGGAGCGTTCAAAGTTTCGAAACCTACAGGATTTTAAGAGCTTGTAGTTTCTCTACGTAAGCAGGTATTTCACCTGAAAAGTTGTTATATGATAGATCCCTGAAAGTAGTAGAAGAGCGTAGAGTGTAAAATTATCTACTTTCTTGCTTGGAATGCATTAGCTTTGAGAGAAACCTTTTATTCTCGTTACATCAGTAAGAGACACAATCTTCTATTTCCCGTGAAAAAAATATCAATAAATAGTTGCAGGTGATAAATTTTTCATTCAAAAATAGCATGAAATTTCTTTAAATTGGCATTTTTTTATGCTTGATAGAATATTCGTCAAAAGAAGACGTGGAAAGCACATTCAAAAATTTTAAACGAACTTACAAGTATGTCAAGCTTGTGAGGTTGGCAATAAAAGGAGGAATTCCACCACCCAATCCGCTATGAGACAAGTTTCTGCAAGCAAAGATAATTTCATTCCTCGGTGCCATATAATTTCAAGCCTGGTGGCTTAGAAAAGAAATTTAGTTGATCACACTGTCAGAACTCACAACGAGATTATCCTCCAGTAATTAGAGGCATTGGCGCTGCATTCCAGGCCTTCCCAGGTGAAGTTTTGTGGAACACACGGATCGCCATCCCAGTTCCTTTTAACTTTATACAAGTCCTTGAGCTTTGAAATGGCCTCCACTGTCATCCATGTGGGTGAGCAAGAGTAACTAAGAACAACGAGACGGCGATAGTCTTTATGAAGATAATCCGTGAAGAATAATTTAGATGCTTTTTCATGTATGATCGATGAAAAGAAGGAAAGCTTTGAGGTATATATATGATGCCGAGACGACAGACATGATTCTACTCCCCTTGACTACTCCTCTCGTGGCGATGTAATCAGAGTCTGTCATAATTTATGACGAATCTCATGAAAATTCGAGCAATAGAAGATGGAAGATAGTTGTTTGGGTTGAAGACGTTCCTGAGGAAAGAACTCAGAGGGGCTCACCTTCGCTCTCGTCGGTCGGCATCAAGGTTAGCCGTTGCACGGTGAACGCCTCGAGGGCATTGATTATGGGGGGTAGAGTGGAGTTGGCCGTGGCCCGAAGGGAGTAGGTCTGCCCCCCTTTTTGGCCCGGCGGGAGCGTGTAGACAAAATCCGCCAGCAGGAGTTTCGGTCTGTACGGACCGAAGAACAGGCTGTCGCCCACGTAGATGTTGAACTCCCTGGTCTCGTTGGCCCCCAGCCTCAGGAGCTCAGCGAAGTGCATGGCAAGATAGGTAGGCACATCAGGGTTCCCCTGAACTGTGATGTTCAAACTCTCCGAGAGGGACAGCGCCGTCGCTGCCGTCTTCATGACGGCCTCCGGCGCCTGGAATCCAAAGCCATCTCCCAGTTTCACTGTGTCGTTGGTGCTTATCCCTCTGCCTAGTGGCACGGGGAACCACAGGCGGTCGTAGGGGTCGGCCGGGTACCTGTACGAGAGTTTTTTTAGAGAGAGGCAGATAGATAGTTCGAGATGGACGGCTAGAGAGAGAGAGAGAGAGAACGTGATCTGGGCTTCCCCTCAGTAGTTCTTCCGACCATCGAGCATGACGACAGAATGCGACGAGTCGACCTGAGTGTACATGGAATAGAGAAGTGGCCGCAGGTCGAGCTCGGATATGAAGGGCGTCCCATTTCCCGTGTTCACCAGGCAGACCTGCATGCTCTCGGTGGCGGCGATGGCGATGATCTCCGACCGATTGAAGTCGCCGGCTTCCATGGTCATCCACAGGTTGACGCCGAGGTATAAGTCGAACGTCGGCGGCCGACCCAGACCGTCGTAGTTCCCGTATAAGAACTGCGCGTTCACCCGATACTTGGCGCCCCGCACCAGCGGCCGCAGCGTGTAGCAGTTTCGAGTCCCATCAGGAAAACTCCGGACGTTGGCATAGTAGCGCATGATGGACGTCAGATTGGTGCTAGGAGAGACCTTCCTGTTCACTCCGGCGCTGGTGTAGGGCTCGTCCGGCGAGTACAGGATCTGAGTAACCTGGTCTTTGTAGCCAGAGTCGTCGTCGAGGCCACAGTCTATGCTGATAAACCCTGCCACAGAGATTGAAGAAGAGTCTTGCAGTTCCGCTCACGAAAACGGCGGAGTGTGGCGAAGGTTGTGGTGTACCTGACGTAGAAGGGATCTGCGCGAAGGCCGCTACGGCCAAAAGGCCCAGCAGAAGCGCGAGAAGCAACATGGTCGCCATGATCGAAGCCGTTCGTCCTTCTTCCTGCTGGACGATACTACAGACGTCGTATCGTCGGGTTCTTATAGATCTTAGCCTCCCCGGCGAGCAGCGGGGCACCGGTTGAACTACGATCATCTAGAGGGGCCAGTGGCACCTATCTCCATCCCTGACGTCCCGTGCTCCTCTCACGTTCCCGCAAACACGCAACTCTCCACGATCATATGAAAAGGACTTCGGAAGGTCAAAACCCTTCCCGAGGCAATCGACCTACCCGAATGGTGACCAAGTCAAACCCTCAGGGGATGCGGGGTCTCCACCTGAGATGAGACTTTAATCCGAAAGCCACAGAATGCTACAAGAACGAAGCAATAGAGTTGACTTTGGTACCTCCGCGATGGTTCCCGGCTTCGGCCATGAGGGGCAGCAGGGTTTCATAATTATTGACACACAAAAGTCAACTAATAATCGTGAAAACCAGCGTGCTCTACTTAAGAGCTAATCGTCGATTCAACAAGCATGGGATCAAGAGGGGATAAATTTCCATTGTGGTAAATGTTTCATCTTCAAATGAGTCAAATTATTTATAGGGATGTAGAACTTGTCTCATTTTTCGACTTTGCACGGAGTTTTTCATACGATATTTTATAAGATCACCGCAGACCAAACTTCTGACATATTTCTCAATGCTTACACTAGGTTTTTAGTTCTTTTTATTTGATTGAATGTGATTAAAACTCAGTAATTTCGAACTCAGTGAAGGCCAGACAGACCGGCTCGGCCCGTTTTCGTTCAAGCCTAGGTAACCTTTCTTCGCCGTCTAATAGTGGACCGTGAATGCTTGGGTTATATCCCCTCCTCCCCATCCTCACTCGACGTCCTCATGGCGGCCTCACCTTGAACTCTGAATTTTCAACCTTTGCATCACCGTTCGCCGAGACTAGTAAGAATATACAGCGAGTCTGAGAATGTGGTCGTAGGAAAACAATGGTTGTGTCCCAATTCTAGCTCAACGCACATACAAGATTCTTCTGCTCTTAGAGAGTACTGGCTTATAGATATGTTGATACAACTCTTCCTAGAATGATACAGATCTTACTCCTATAGTTAATGCACTATATTCTAGTTCAAATAATGTATTAAAATTTAGAAGAGTTAATTGTTTTCTTAAAAATAATAACACTTTTATCTGCTGCGCCATGTAAGCTTTTACTTTTTCATACCTTTAACAGTTAAAGTAATAATCTAACTAAAATTTTATATAAATCTTCTGTAAAAAGAAGGTACATCGTAAAAATTATGAACCTTATATTCATTCTTTCAGATAGACCAATCCTTGATAGCTTGCACATTCCTTCATCAACTCTGATGTTATTTTCATTGATTATATAACTCAAGAAAGCTAAACTTATGAATAATTCATTTTATTCTAAAACACAATACATATCTTAAATAATTAACATGTTCTTCATCAATGGTATTATATATCAAAAGTCATCAAAATAGATAATGATACTTTTTTTTCAATAGATGACCTCAATCTTTAGTTTGTCATCCTCATAAAAGCACTTGGTGTATTTGATAAGTGAAATGATATTACTAGCCATTAATAGAGCCCTCTTCAATATTATTCGTCACCTATTCAAATTTGATGATAACTAATTTTAAGATGAACTTTTGGAAAACTTCTTGAATCACACAACATATCTTGTACTTGAATCTTAGGAAAAAAAGGTATATTTGATAGTAATGTTACTAATAATTCTGTTGTCTATCCATAATCATCAATTTCTATCTTCTTTGGAGCTACTGATGCAAGAACTTAGCAATTACTCATACTTTTACAAATCATACAATTTGTAAAATATTTTTTCAACCTTTACTCGTTAAATTCGATTTTTTCTTGACCCATTCTACAGTGAGATAAATTTGAAATTTTTTCTCCCAGAATCAAGTTAATATGATGCTATATATCTTTGAGTGGAGAAAGATGATTGAGCACCTTTGATGGTAGTAAATTCACTTAACAACTTCTGCATAGCCTCAAATATAAAATTTGAATATTCAAATACAATATTCATCTTTGAAAAGCAAAAAAATTGTAATATTTCAACCAACTTGTTGAAGAGTTCTTTCTTATTAAGCATTATCACTTTTTATTTTCTTGCTCTAAAACATTATGGAAGTCACAACATTTTATATGACGTAAAATAAATTATGAATGTGCCCTGCCCAAGTCAAGCCTGCGGAATGCTTAAAAACGTCAGGGGGGGCCTCCATCTGAGATGAGACCTTAATGCCAAAGCCGCAGAATGCTTAAGAATCGAAGCAATCAAGTTGACTTCGATGCCTACGCGCTGGATACTTGCTTGGGCCATGAGGGGCGGCAGGGGTTTCACAATGATCGATGCAAAAAAGTCAACCAATATTCGGAAATTGTCTCATTTTTCCGATTTTGTATGGTTTATTCGTACGGTATTCAATTTCAACATCTGTAAAATAAATATCGAAATATCACCGCAGTATGTTTTTTAATGTCTACACTAGATTTTTAATAATTTTTTATTTGATTAAATGGGATTCAAAGTCAACGACTTGTAAAGTCAGCTAAGCCCGGCCAGACGATCCCCGCCCCTCTGGCAGCTAAGCCTGGCGAGACGGGGACCAGATGGGGCCCTCTGGTCCTCGCCTAATAGTGGGCTCCGAATGCTGGGTTTAAATCCTCCACCCTTCTTCCCCGCCGCCGCCCGTCTCCTCTTTCTCGCCATATGTGCATGTCCCTGTCGACCTTCCCTCCTCTCTCGACGTTCCCCATGGCGCCTCATCTTGAACCCTGAATTTCAACCTCTGCGTGCCGCCCCGTCGCTCCAGACTATACAAGAACATACAGCGAGATGGTCCGCAAGTCGAGGACGAGCCGGAGAATGAGGGCGGAGGAAAACAATAGTCCTTTGCAGATCCCAGATCTACGGACAAGCGGGTTTCATTATGCTCTCTCGGGATTTCCTTCTTCCGGACGGGATCGAGGTTGTTTGATGGCTCACCATCGTAGCCTTCAGATGAATGCTTTAGCCAAGTGCTCCGATTGGATTTAGATTCCTAGAATTCTTCATCCATCCTCAAGCACCTCCTAGAAAAATCTCATGACCACGACCACCTGAGAATATTATTTGTTCATTGACAAACCAGGATGAACACATAGAAAAAAGAAGACCGGAAACAACCTCTGAATGCTTACACAGAGCTTGGACATGCGGTGTTTTATTCAATCCATGAATGCATATGTGGAATTAGATCTCTTGACGCTTACACACGAGCGATATTATCTCGCAGATGGCCTGTCCATGGGCCCATATGAACTGGGAGTCTGTTCATTTCATTCGTATCGACATCGCTTGACTGGCCCGTGGATTCTTCAGTTGACATGCACTCCTTTAGTTGCACCACCACATCGCTCATTGTTGGTCTACTATTAGATTCCGGTGACGTACATGACATTGCAATCCCTACTGCTCTCCAAAATGAGTTGACATTATATTACCCTTTCATTCTTCGGTCTGCAATAATGGTTACATCCCCTCTTTCCAAGGTTGACTGCACCCGCTGGACAATGTGAGTTTTCTCTGCATTTGAGCCCACAGTGATTGGTTGTTCTCCTGTCAAAAGTTCTAGTAATACGATTCCGAAGCTGTAAAGGTCGCTTTTCTCATTCAACCTATATGTTTGGTAATACCTGCACATAAGGAAAGGAATCAAATAAATGAATTTGCCAAGCTCTCGGTGTTCCTCATAAACTGGCACATTTGAAGTAGAGATGGACTCGAGGTCGAGATATCCGGGGGTGCCAGCAACGGCAGTCGATGTATGAGTGAGGCCTTCGTTCGGAAAAGCTCTGGACAGCTCAAAATCGGATAATTTTGCTTCAAGGTTTTGATTCAAGAGGATGTTGGAAGTCTTGACATCTCTGTGAACTATGGATGGCTTGCAACCACTATGCAGATAATCAAGTCCTGTAATTCGAAATATCAGCAACATCCTTGATTATGATAATTAGGGATATTAAAAGACATAATCGTCAAAATCAATGAAATGGACATCATGGACAAGGGATTAATCATGTTTCATGGGATCACCTTGTGCAGCTTCAGTTGCTATTCTTAGTCTCTCTCTCCAACACAAGTTGTCAATACTGCCCTTGTCACCTACGTACGATGAAGTTTTAAAAGAGGATTCAAAAAATAATCAAAATAACTGAAGGATCCTACAAGAGCATGATATCTGGTTAGATGTGAATGGTATGTTGTGTTTGAGAACCTGAGAGGTGATCCGCAAGGGAACCTTTGGCTATGAACTCATAGACCAATGACAGGTTATCATAACAATATCCCAGCAATGATACTAGATTTTTATGGTGTACCCTTGTTAAGAGTTCAGCCTGAAATTTCATGTGAGCACTAGCATTAAAAATTACTCTTACAAGATAAAATAATAACTGAACAAGTAATTTAATAAAGTCACATAGAATCTTAATTCCAATTACTATGAGTTACCTCAGCTCTGAACTCCTTAGCTCCTTAAGCTGATGTTTCGGAGAGTACTTTAACAGCAACTTGATTTTCATCTTCTAAGTGGCCAAGGTAGACACTTCCAAAACCTCCTCTACCGATTTGTTTTTCAAAGTTATTTGTCATTCTTATGATGTCAGATAATGAGAATTGTTACTCTCATGATGCAAACTATTTTCTTCTCCATCTTTCTTTCCATACGAACCTATTGAAATGAACAAGACAATATCAAAAAGATACTATGAGCAACATCGCATCATTGTTTGATAAGCAAGTTTATCAAAGAAAAGAGTATCATACGTTATGGACATATACCTTGTGTTTTGCTTGGAGAGTCATTAGCCTTTCTCCTTTTCACTTTGCACACTATGATCAAGATTACAAAGGCTACTGCAAGGGCTGCTGATATAGCTATTGCAATCGGAACAATACTCTTTCTTTTCTGTTCTCTTGTCTCACATATATTCACTGTGCTGCACAGAATTGGATTGTTGTTGACGCTGAAAGTATGTCATGATAACAGTAGCATATTAGTGGAAGACACGATTAATACCCAAATGCCCTACCTATTATGTCCTACATGTATCCCAGCCGATCAACCCATGTTACTTAGCCGAGTTTAGTGTGTTTGCCCAAAATGAATACATAGTTCCTTTTTCCTAATCCATGGTGAAAGGTCTGTATTACTTTGAATGCTGGACGAAGCGTGCTTCTGTGGAATAAAGGAAGCTTGGATATAACATATATTGGTCCTCTAATTATTCGTTTCAGGTAAAGTTGATGAAACTAATGAGAAACATTTTTACAGATTCCATCCCATGAGGTCTTTTGTATTCAGCTTCTGGATTCATTTGTGTGATTGAGCCTAACAAGTCATGTCGAGATGCATCTTTCATTCGGTTTTTGGGTTCGTTTGTTGAGCATGCAGATCCAAATAAAACCACAGCATTGCAGGTATCATATGCAGTTCGACAGGGCCGCCTTCTTATTATTTCTTCACTGCACTAGCTCAGTCATAATTGTGACAGGCCGAGGAGTTAAATAGGTACCAGGGCCCTCTACTTTCTTCAGCCTTTACTGTACTAATTTACTTGTAAATGTTACCTGTCAAGCAGTTTACTCTGAACCGGGGACACGGGTATTTTTCCTCTCTTTCCCTTGTAATCCGAAATTTACTGAATGAAATGATCCACTGGGTTTGTGGTGAGCGCTGCTTGCGACAATCTAAAGACATTCCGAACGTTCTCTCCTCGGAGTTCTCTCCGGGCGGCACTTCCCTTTCCCCCTCTCTCCTCTCTTTTTCTCATTAAATGTCTTAAAACTATATACGTCTTGTTTTGTGGCATGGGGAACTCCAGGAAAAGCTAGGTAGGCTAAAAGTAGATGAATTTTTTTATAAGACTTGGATTATAGACGAGAAACTAACCTCAATGAAATGGATCCATTCTGTGATTTTTCATAAAGAATTGGGGGAAGGGGTCCTGTCAAATTGTTGCTAGCCAAGTTCCTGCATCGCAAGGATATCTGACCATCTGTTTCTCCTTTATACGCAATGAAATGTAACAGTTGTAACCTTTCAGAACTTACAGGAAGCTGAGAGCAGGTAGCTTCTCTAGATTCGCAGGTATTCCCCTGTAAAGTTGTGCGATAGATCCCTGAAAGCAACAGACCGGTTATAACGAATCTAATCTTAACGCTAATGGAAAACTATCCCTTCATAATTTCATCCAGATTCTTAACTTGTTTATGCAAAATCATGAAGGAATCATAAATAGTAGGTCATTAGAAAACCGGAGCCCAAACATCAATTCTTGCATGGGCTTATCCCCTAGTTTAACCTGTATACATTTATCCCTTGTTCCTTGCATTACTCGTCCTTTAGAACGATTCCTCTGCCAGTTCTTTCCTACGTATCTAGGGGAAGAAGGATTGGCAAGCTAAATCATTCTCTCGAAAGATGGGAGTAAAGAATGAATGGTAGCGTGTGAATCCAATGATCCCAGTTTATTATATTCTCATTACTTTGGGTTCCTGTGTGTATTACCACTATTTGTAACTATCTCATTTGACCTGGGTTTAGAAAGCTGTTAATGGGTCCTCAGATCTTGAAGCATGGTCCTTGCCTCCGAAGAGTTGTGACGTTTCCTTGTAAATCAAGCACAGATTTTCCACGGAGAGTTGAAAGTTGGTCCTGTACGATTTAGGAAGAGGCTTACAATGACTGCAGCGCTGTGAGGTTGGATATCAAAGGAGGAATCCCTCCGCTCAATCCGCTGTGAGACAAGTTTCTGAAAATCAGACAAATCTCAGTCTTTGAGCTCATATAATCCCAGACACGGTGGATCAGAATAATTCGTAAATGGCCATATTTTAGTAGAACTCACAGAGAGATAATCCTCGAATAATTAGTGGCGTTGATGCTGCATTCCAGGCCTTCCCAGGTGAAGTTCTTTGGAACACATGGATCGCCCACCCAATTCCTCCACTCGAAACCATTTTCTGATATCTGAGATGGCCTCAGCTGAGATTTCAGCCAATCAGGAGCACCACGAACCAGAATATACACGCGCAGAGAGCCATTAGGTCCTTTATTAGGATGAGCCCATAAGAACATAGCGAGAGAGAGAGAGAGAGAGAGAGGAACCATTTAAAACGGTTGTTGGGTACGTGTCCAACAAATAAAAATTGAAGGACGTTAACTCACCGTCGCGGTCGTCGGTGGGTTGCAAGCTCAGTCGCTTCAGTGCGTAAATCTGGATGGCGTTGAAGATGGGGGGCAGAGTGGAGTTGGCGGTGGCCAAAATTGAGTAGGGGACCGAAGCCGCGCCACCCGGAGGGATGGTGAACGACATCTCCCCCGCCCTGAGGTACTCCGGCCGGTAGGGGCCGGCGGCCAAAACGTCATCGATGTAGACGTTGAACTCCCTCGTCTCGTTGGCTGCGGGCAGCTGGAGCTCGGCGAAGTGCAGGACCACGAGGGTCTCTTCCTGGGGAAGCCTATTGACGCTGAAGTTTATGCCATCGGTGAGGGACGCCGCCGTCGCCGCGGTCCTCAGCACGGCCGACGGCACAAGAAACTCGTCGCCGGCCGCCGTCTTCACCTCCAGAGCACTCCTTATCGGTTTCCATGCCGTCCGGTCATTGTCGGGGAACCAGTTTCGATCGTAGCGGTCGTCCGGGTACCTGCGCCAGGGTCATCGTTGAGAGAGAGAGAGAGAGAGAGACCGGATGACGCTTCCCCATCCGTAGTTCTCCCGGTTTCCCAGCAGGAGAAGCGACTGCGACTGGTTCGCCATGGGGTACATGGAATAGAGGAGGGGCCGGAGCTCCAGCATCGACACGAAGGGCGTCCCGCCGCCGGTATCCACCAAGCAGACCTGTATACTCTCGGCGGGCGCGACGGCAATGATTTCCAGACGGTTGAACTGCCCGACCACGACGGTGCTAGCGAGATTAACGCCCACGTAGACGTCGAAGGTCGGGGCCGATCCAGGCCGTCGTAGTTCCCGTACAGGAAGTCGGCCCTTACTAGGTACTTACCGCCGCTCTCGACGGACCCCAGCGCGTAGCAGTTCCGAACCCCGTCGGGGAAACTCCGGAGGTCGGCGTAGTACGTCCCTATGCCGGAGAGACCCTTCTGTTCACTCCGGTGTCTATGTAGGCCTCGTCCGGCGAGTACGAGATCTTAGTCAGCGCTATTAACGCATAGGTTTTCAACAACAACGCGTGCCTCATAGGCACTAGAACCGTCGCCCCAGCCAATCAAACATCGCCAACAATCAGGAAAGATTTAAACTCTCCAACGGCTAAAACTACGGTGGAGACGACGTCACGGGACCCCATCCAAGGGATCTATTTTGATCCTATATAAACCGCTTGTAATTCATCTATTTTACAAGAAAGAGGAAGATTTGCTTTCTCTTGTTTCTCTCTTTCTCTCTTCTCTCTGTTCTTCCCCCTCTTCCAGTTCCTTCCTAAACAGGAACGCTCTATCTCTTTCATGGTATCAGAGCCTACAGGCGCTCAAGTGTGGATCTAATGGCATCTTCCCCCTCTTCTCAAATCGTGTCCACCATCACCATCGCATCGCTCCTTCGATTGTCATGGCTGTGCCAACCAGTCTGGTGGTTCCTGTCCGATTGACTAGAGAAAATTTCTCGGTATGGAAGAACACGACCGTCCCTCTTCTTAACGGCTACGATCTTCAAAAATACATCGATCAAGACCCGCCGGCTGCCACGATCGATGATCAACCGAATCCTGCCTATCAAGCCTGGTGGCGGAACGAACAGCAGGTGCTCGGCTTTATTAACTCCTCTCTCTCCGAAATAATTCTATCTAAACTAGGTCAAAAAACGACCACCAAGGAGCTCTGGACGGCCATTCAGAAAACCTACTCCTCGTCCGATCGCTCCCGCATCATGGATCTTCAACGGCACCTCCACAACTTCGTCAAAGGCGATTCCTGCATCGAAGAATACATTCAAAGATTCAAACGGCTTGCCGAGGAGCTTGCTCTAGCTGGTAAACTTGTTGAAGAAATATCTCAGATTTGTGTTTTTTTAAGAGGCCTCCGTCCCTAATATAGCGCTTTTGATATTAGCATTAACGCTAATCTCAATCATCTTACCTTCGAGGATATCATCTCTAGTCTTCGATCCCATGAAGCCACAATAGCTTGTCACCAGCAGATGGCTCCTTCGACACTCTCATCTACCGTGGCACCTTCAGCAAATCTTGCCCAAACTAATCAGACCGATAAATCTTGTCATCTGCAAAATTAGTCTCAATCCAACCGTGGATCCGGCAATAATCGTAGAAGACGAGGATGGGGGAACCAGAATTGGCAGCCACGCTGTCAACTCTGTTCTCAATTTGGCCATCAGGTGTTTCAATGTGGGGAACGGTTCAACCCTGCCTTTCAACCGCAATCTGAACACGCCTACAACCTACCTGTCCTGAATCTTCCACATATCATTCAGCCGCAAGCTTACTTGACGACTCATCATAATCCACAACCGGCACCAGTCAACTGGTATCCCGATAGTGTTGCTACTCACCACATCACACCTAATCAAGGGGTCCTCCACTCCTATACTCCTTATCAAGGCCCCGATCAGCTGCAGATAAGTAATGGCTCAAGTATGGCTATTTCTTCTACTGGCACCGCTATAATTAAAACCCATTCTTTTCCCTTAAAATTAAATAATATATTGCATGTCCCTCACATTCGAAAACATCTACTTTTCGTTAAACAATTTACCATTGATAATGATGTTTTCATTGAATTTCATGCTACCTACTGTCTTTTGAAGGACGAGAAAACCCACAAAGTCCTCCTCAAGGGAACAACTGAAGATGGACTTTATCTTCTTCAACTGCATGGTCAACCTTCAGTGTTCTTGGGGGCAAAGACAGACCTTGCTACATGGCACAACCGACTGAAATCATGGACTTCCCTTATTTCGCATACCCAAAAATAATTTCGAATTTTGTCATGCTTGTAATGTTTCGAAATCACATAAACTTCCTTTTCAGACCTCTTCTCATATTTCTATTAAACCACTTGAATCAATACATTCCAACCTCTGGGGTCCTTCACCCATTACTTCTCTTTTTCATTTCTCTTATTACGTAATTTTTTTTGATGATTATAGCAAATTCATGTGGCTTTATCCTCTCAAAAATAAAAGTGATGTGTTTCAAATCTTTATCAAATTTCAAGCAAAGGTAAAACGACTTTCTTCTAGTAAATCCTTCTGTTTCAATCAGATTGGGGTGGTGAGTTTCAGGCATTGACCAAGCATTTTTAGGATCGAGGCATTCACCATCGCATCTCTTGTCCTCATACACCCTAACAAAATGGGACTACCAAATGCAAACATAGACACCTTGTAGAGACAGCCTTATCTCTTCTCAAACAAGCCTCTATGTCCCAAGAATATTGGGATGAAGTTGTGTATACAGCTACCTATCTTATTAATCAAATGCCTACCCCCATTCTAAAATTTAAGAGTCCTTTTAAAGTTCTTTACAAAGTTATACCTGACTATCAAACACTCAAAACCTTCGGATGCCTCTATTATCTGTACACTAGATCTTTTGCACAACATAAATTAGAAGATAGCTCCGAATCTCATTTATTTTTAGGATATATAGCTCACATCACCACGATTATAGATGTAAGTCTCTTGCTCCCGGAAAATTTTATACATCTCATCATGTATTATTCTGAGTGCATATTCCCTCACTTCACACCACATCTAGTCAAACCCAACTCGTCTTCTACCGATAGAGGAATCCTCAGTTTCCATCCTAACTATGTATCAATTCCTATCCTTCCCTCCTCACCCCCCGCTTCTACCCCTTCTTCAACTTTTTCCCCTTCACACCAAATAACAGCCACCACCACTTCATTGTCCTCCACTAAAATTACTCTCATTTCTGATTCTCTTGCTCACTTAACTAACTCAACCCCTCACTCACCTGATAGTGACAATTCAGATCCAACATCTTCTTCCTCAACTCCATCAGCTAAATTTAGGCGTATCAGTCATCTCTATAGGGATACCACAGCAGTCCTTCTAACGTCCTCTTATTTAGCAACCTTGTCAACTAAATATCCGTTACCCCAATGCTACCATCTTACTCTTTCTCACAAGGAACCCGAAAATTTTTCCACTTCCTCCAAACATCCCCTATGGAGACAAGCTATGCAATTGGAGTTTGAGGCTCTCCAAAAAAATCAAACTTGGACCTTAATCCCACGGCCTCCTAACACACATATAATTGGGTGTTAATGGGTCTACTGGTTAAAACTTAAATCTCATGAGTCCATAGTCTGGTATAAAGCCCGATTAGTGGCAAAAGAATTTTCTCAACAAGAAGGGTTCAATTATTTCGATAGTTTCTCACCTGTCATCAAAATGACAACTGTAAGGCTCCTTCTATCCATAGCTATTAGTCAACGATGGCACATCCATCAATTGGATGTCTCCAACACCTTCCTTCATGGAGATCTCAGTAAGAGTATCATCATGGAGCAACCAGAGGGATACAAAAACTCCAATTTCCCTAATCATGTTTGCAAACTTCATAAATCTATCTATGGATTAAAACAATCCCTTAGAGCATGGTTTTCCAAATTATCCTCTTATCTCTCTCAGTTTTATCGGATCCAAAACAGATACCTCCTTATTTTTTTTCATAAATGAACTATTATTTATTCTAATTTATGTTGATAATCTACTAATCATTGGATCAAATTTTCATTTTATTAATTTTGTTGTTTCATCACTGAATAACAAATTTGCCATTAAGGATCTTGGGCATACTCACTTTTTTCCTTGGAATAGAATTACTTCATGTTTCCACAGGTTATCTTCTCTCGCAATCCAAATATCTAGCTACAATCCTTCAACGGGCACGCCTGGATCAGTACAAATTATTGTCAACTCCATGATCAACCTCCATAACCGAGTTTCCCAACAACACTTTACTTCCTGATCCCAAGACTTATAGAAGTATCTTCGGTGGTCTACAATACCTCACAATAGCACGTCTGGATATCTTATTATGTGAATTGGGCATATCAAAAGATGCACAACCCCTCTCATGAAGATTAGCAAACCCTCAAGCATCTTCTTCACTATCTAAAGGGCTCAATTACTTTGGGCCTTCATCTCTCTCATGACTCCCCTCTTCAGTTCACAGCCTACAGCAATGCAAATTGGGCCTCTTCTAAGAATGATCGCCGATCCACTGGTGGTTATCTTGTTTATCTTGGAAGAAACTTGATCTCCTAGTCGTCGAAGAAACATTCTATCGTCTCGAGATCAAGTACAGAGGCTGAGTATAAAGCTCTAGCAAACATGGCTGCTGAGTTTATCTAGCTAAATTCTCTTCTTAATGAAATTCAGATCAAGCCACAAGGCACTCCAATTCTCTACTGCGACAATCTAGGAGCTACATATTTATCTGTTAATCCCGTCTTCCACGCTAGAACGAAACACATTGAGATCAATTTTCACTTCATTTGTGAAAGGGTCACCGCCAAACAACTGTAAATCAGATTTCTTCCCAGCACTCATCAGCTCGTTGACATCCTAGCAAAGCCTCTCCTCAAAAGTCATTTTCAATGGCTAAGAAACAAGCTAAATCTCGTTCCGAGCGTTAGCTTGCGGGGAACTGTTAACGCATAAGGTTTTCAACAACAACGTGTGCCCTCATAGACACCATAATCGTCACCCCAGCCAATCAAACATCGCCAACAATCAGGAAAGAACTCTCCAACGGCTAAAACTACAGTGGAGACGACGTCACGGAACCCCATCCAACGGATCTATTTTGATCCTATATAAATCGCTTGTATTCATCTATTTTATAAGAAAGAGGAAGATTTGCTTTCTCTTGTTTCTCTCTTCCTCTGTTCTTCCCGCTCTTCCAGTTCCTTCCTAAACAGGAACGCTCCATCTCTTTCAAGCGCTTCCGTGTAATTAGAGTCACCGCCGAGGCCGCAATCGATGCTGTTGAACCCTGCGTTGGGGAAACCATAACCTTCCGTCATTCCCGTTCCACCTGGAGAGGCGGTGGCGGGGAGAAAGAGTAAGGGAGTACCAATCTGGGGCAGGCTCTGTGCGGAGGCCGCCATCGCCAGGACGCCCAGCAGCAGAACACGCCACCCTGTTGCCGCCATCGTCAGCGTTCTCTCCAACCCCGGTTCTGTGGGCTCTGTTGGAGCTGGCGCAAATCGTAAATTTCCCCTTCCCTCTGCCAAGTGGACGACGGCAGTCGCCCAATTCTATACTTTCAGCGCAGCCGTTCACAGCTTTATACTTCCCTCTGCCAAATGTATTATTGTGTACGTCGCATTCAATCTGGGCAAATGCATTAAGTCGTCTGTTCCTAGCGTTCAAGAGACAGCTCATAGTGAAAAGGACTACACCCCTCACAAGAAAGCTGCTCAACGGAATTACACAAGGCCGTTGAGCATATGGCTGTTGGTACATAACAAAATTAACTAACAACCCTAAAAGAACTCTATATAAACACTCATCTTACATCACTGTAACATTTTTAAGCTTTCTACATCAATAATAGAATCATATATTTTACTCTTGTTCTCTTCTATTCTTATTCTCTTCTTCTTCTTGCGCGTCTTGTTTCTTCACATGGTATCAAAGCAACAAAGTGCTCATTAATCTATGCTTTCGGAATACATGACAGCTGAAACAAGAATGGCTTCCTCCTCTTCTTCTATGCGAAATGCAACATCATCAGTAATGCCGCCCACTGCAATCCCATCTGCTGTAAGGCCTCTATTATCAGTAAAGTTCTCAAATGAGAATTATCTTTTATGGAAAATAAAACTTGTCACCCTTCTCAAAAGCCAAGGGCGTCTTCATATCATTGATGGCTCAACTAAGCCACCATCTCCTACCATCAAGAATGGAAACATAGATTTTGAGAGTAATCCAGACTTCATTAAATGCGAATGCCATGATCAGTCTATTTTCCCTGATCCTATCTTCCATCAAAGAAATCATTTATTTGATTATTATCAGATATCATACATAAAAAGATACTTGGGATGTATGAGCTAATAAGTTCACATCTAAAACAAGATCCCACATCCTTCAACTACACATATAGTTATATGATGATAAAACTTTATTATCATGAGTTAATAATTAATTAGTAATACATTTTATATATTAACTCATGATAAATAAATTTATATTTATGTTAAATTATGAAGAATAATTTTAGCTAGTTAATGTGAACTTTTAGTTAATTATGTAATTTTGATAATCATGTATTTTGAATTAAATAAAGATAAATAAATAAAATAAAAATATATAAAAAGATGAGGACCCGTCGACTAGTCAGGCATGGAAATTGGTCAGAAGCATAGTCAAGCGAAATTACAAGAGGGAGCTCAAATAGTATCAAGAGGGCATGTGTGCATCACTCTCCTTCTATATCACTAGTGGTCAAACATCTGAAAATAGTCAATGTGGTATTAAATCTAGGCCACCATTTGTCATCACTTATTTTTAATATTTATATATTATAATACCCCTAAATGATAAGAAGTAGATACCATTATGATGTCACTAGAAAATGGTATTCACGTACTTATGTCACTCTCTCTCATACAAACAAGCAAACGAGAAGTATATTTGCATATTTTTATCTAATTAAAAATCATGATTTTTATGTAGAGTGTGAGTCAATGATTAAATCGCTAAAATCACTTTATCATTAGTGAAAATGCCGTCAACGTGATTCGTGAAGTCTTGTTACCAATTGTCGAATAATTATATATAAAAAGCTCACAAATGTATTAAGTAAATTATCTCTAATTAATAAATAAACCAACTATTGTTAGGAAGAGGATGATCCACTAGAAGACTAGTTGCCACCTCTTGAAAGCATAACAGATATAATGAAGAGCCTCTTCTTACTACGTAGACTCGAAAATGTGATAGTCAACAAAGACTATTTATCAACCAACCTCACTGATTTGTTGACTTCGTAACAAGATCTAAAGATTATTTAGGTTGTCTATGTCTAAAGAGAACCTTTTAGGCCTTGACATCGCACAATAACCTTCCAAACGTACAAAATTTTGACGATTGTTGCTGTGAAGTTGTGATTGTCTTTCATATTTTAAATTTAATTTTACTTAATTTAGTGCTAGTTTATGTGATTTCAAATTTTAATTTTTTTTCATTTAATTATGATTTTTTTGGCTTTTATAGATCTTAATTTGATCAATTAAATTATTTGTAATCATTACGTAAGAATGTGGGTGAAAATTTATTTCTATCTTAATTGTGTTCATTAGGGTGCTGATGTCATCTTGGCGTATGCACCCAAATATTTTTTTTCATAAATTTTTAAATATATTTAATATTTATCATTTAATCTAAAACTCATACAAAATCATATTCTTTGAGAAAAATTTAAAATATTACTTTATATTATCTTACATCTCTCTAATTGATTTCGAAATTTTCTATTATTTTTATTTTTTTTAATGAATTATAATTGATTATTTTTTCTACAATATTTCTAAAAATCAATAAATTACTATTTTCTAATTTAATAAATTTAAATTTACATGATTTATTATACAATGATTATGTCACGTCAAAATTTGACACTATTGTCTGAGATGTATTACATAATATTTGGTAGTTTTTATTTTTCTCTTAGAGTATAAAAAAATAATTTAATTCTTTTCTTGTAGAAAAAAAAGAAAAAAAGAACAAAGAATAGCAAGGCAAGGATTAGATTTGCCTAAAGGAAGGTAACATTTATTAAAAAAATTCTTTTAATTTTTAGATTTTTATGTATGGTGTATGATGTTTACATCTAGGGTTAGAGAATCCTTCCACTATTTTGTCAAAAATCAAAAATTCGAAAGAAAGATCAATTTTGATAGATCCTAAGTGTAATACAAGTCAAACTGAGAATAATTCCATACACATGAAAAATTATTATATCCTTGATTCATATCAACAACCATCTAATATTAGAGTCCCATTAGCACCCACAATTAAATTCAAAATAAATTCAGAAAATTTTCAAATGCTCCCTAATTTCATGAACTTCCTTTAGAGAAATCTCATTAGTATTTAAAAAAATTCATATAGACTGTGATTTAGTTAATCTCTTTCAAGTTATATTAAAAATTATTAAGATAAAATTATTTCTATATACACTTAGAAATAAGGGTAGTTATTGACTATTTATATTAGATCAAGAATTAACTAATTGTAAAGACATAATAGATATTTCTTCAAAAAAATTATCTCCTAGGAAAAACTCAAAACATGAGAAAATAAATATGAAGTTTTGCTCAAAGGCCAAGAGAAACTTTACATGAGGCATGAAAAAATTTAAAGATTTATTAAGAAAGTGCCTTCATCATGCTATACTCAAGTGGCGCTCAATATATTTTTTTATGATGAATTATTAAAATAATATATAAATATGATTGATTCTATATGTAGATGAACTTTTATGGAGAAAACTTGTGATGAAATTTATAGTATTTATTAGAATTTAAGTGAAAATTTCAAAAGATTAAGCTTCTTTTGAGTTATATGACAAGGATAAGAAGAGATGAATTTATGAATTGTATTATCAAAGATTATTCTAATTTAAGAAAAGAGGTAAATCATATTAATCAAAGATTGGAAAAACTTGATTTACTTGTTGAGAATATTAGAAAGACTCATAACCATTAATTTAATTTAAAAAATAGCTGTCCTATGTGTGTTGAAAATAATCAATCTGAATTTTAATGTCCCATGTTAGATCAATCATTTAAACTTAGGCAAGAGCAAATATAAGTAGCCCACAGTTTTAATAAAAATAGATAATATTTTTCATCCTTAGGTCCATACAACAAGAAGAGATCCTTCATCACATATGATATGTTCTTAGGAGATGGTGACTCGTCTCATGATAGATCGTCTTCTTCTTCATGACCACTTATTTGTTGATCATATTGAAGATAATTTAGTCAATAGATTCATGATATTTTTATCCAGAATCATTTAGTAATGTTAGTAACAATATTTTATGAATCATGTTGATAAGGTTTTTATCAATGATTGAATAATTTTAACGTCTTAATTATTGATATTTAATATGTAAGAAAATTATGATTTAATTAGATAAAAATATGAGTTTTAACTCTAATAGGATTTGAACCTTCATTAGTGATCTACTTGCATGAAAGAGAGTGAAATAAGTACACAAATACTTTTATACAATGACATCTTAGGGGTATCTCCTTCTCATAAATAAATCATATTTTAAGGATTGAAATTATTGAAAACCTTATGGGAAGCTGCGACTACTAATTTAGTCCCACATCAGTTATTTTTCGAGGTTTGAGATGAATATATAGTAATACTAGATCTGGTGATCAATATGTCCCTTTCTCACATGTGTACAACTACTCTTTGCCCCACGCTTAGTTGGCAACAATGATGTGAAAGGAGAGTGACATACATGTGTCCCCTACTAGTTCTTTAGCTGCTCAAGCCCCCAACTCGATCTCCTCCACCACTGCAGCACACTAACTAGGGTGATTCAATGCTTGAGAAATAATCTTGGGAATTGAAACAGAGGATTGGCTAGAAAGAGAGGCATGATATGATGTGGTGAGATGAGAATACGATACAAAGTTGAAAATAAGTTGTTTGGTACATGAATGAGATACCTTCCATAGGGCAATTAGAAGGTCAAGGTATGATGGCAAGGATGATGCAGGTGGGGGTAGTGGTGTTGGTTATATAGGGGAAGATACAGGTAAGGAAACATTTGATGGAAAAGGATTAGTAATTGGGGTGAGTGTGGATGATGAAAGAGAAACTTGTGGCACATGAAGAGAAGAAGAAAGAGACTCAAAAAATACCAACAAGATAGGCCCAAAGTCACATAAAGAGAGAGAAGTAGTCACAAACGATTTAAAAAAAGAAGACCCTTTAAAGAAGGTAACATCTGGAGACAAATGATGATGAGTCAAAGGACAATAATAATGGTACCCTTTCTAAAGACATGAGTAATTGAGAAAAATATACTTCATAGACTTAAGTGCAAGCTGATCTAGATTCGGTCCAAGCTAATGAACAAAGCACGAACAACCAAGTATGTGTGGAGGTGACTAAAAGAGAG